GGAGTTGGGGCACTGAATTCACTTGCGGCTGTTGGAGAGTCCTAATCTTTAAATTCGTCCAAGAAACCTTCCACCAACTTTTCAGACGGGCCCGTTGGCAATCTGTACTGGACAAGTTAGCTTAAGAGTTGTCTCATAGGCAATCATACCACATCTCCTTATTTCATAATGTCTATTTTCCAGTGACAATCACATTCCTGCATAATTGGGTGAACCGGAAAATGCATACAAAATAGTTCAACATTTAATTGATAGTTACGATTAAAAAAGGTGCAAGCATCTAGAGTTTAGAAAGATATAAAATCAATAATGAAGTAGTCTATAGAAAATTACTGACTATTGATATTGAATATAGTGAGATGAATTTTTACACGTGTAGAATCACTTCACGGAAACGATTTTTTACCATAAAATTGATTGAGGAAAACTTACATTAGAAGTACTTGATTTGACCTACAATTTCGTGATTAACAAATTGTTTTAAGTGAAGGAAACTAAGCTTTTATTCGAGATATCTAGATTTTACTTTAAAAGTCCAAAAAGTGTATGTGGTGTGCATAAAATTTATTTTAATCTGTCAAATTCATGCATTTAACATCATCACCTTCCGAAGGGTGGATTAGCACAAGATTGCATGTATGTTTAAATGCAGAGGCACACTGTTAATCGAAGAACGTGTATTTTATACTTAACTTATGATTATGATTTAATAGACACTTAAATGCATTTGTAAAGGATGATGATCAGGTCTCTCACTTGCTCATTTTTTTTTTTTTCTTGTCATCTAGAGATAACCCAAGTTTACTTGATACATGTTATAAGTACTCATTTGTCTAATACGTCCGATATTTTAAAAACGAATTTAAATAGTAGAACAGAATATGTTTACCCTTTGGAGCACCTGGTATTACCCCCGTTTTTTGTTGAGTTTTGTGATGATCAGTCTTCCGGGCTTTACAGGAATGTCTAAATTATATGGATTTGGTATTTTTGTGGCAAACGGACGATAACCCAGATGAGAAACAATTTCCACTGTTTCCTTGACAACAAACAGTGACTCTATTCCTTTCGTCAATTTAATTTGAACACAACACATGATATAGGTACATTATTATACAACGGTGGGCATCTTAAGGACCCGCAAACAGCTTTGACAGCATACAATAGTTCACCATTGTGGTTGTTAGCTCCGGCTTCTAGCGTGTCAGCAGTAATGTCAATACATATATACTGCGAAGCTGCACTATGGGTGTCTGCAACTGCCGCAAGTCTACCATAGTACTCTACTTTCCAGCTGTCGTAGCATGTTGTTTTGCCAGGTATAATTAATAAAGATAACTGTTGCGTCGCCCGACAGACAGCACAGGGAACGTCGTTATCCTGGAAGTTTGTTCCAAAATAATTACCCTCTTCATATTCAGCCTCATAGAGCGATGACACGTAGTCATTGGTCGTTATTGGGCCATCTCTTTTAATGAAATCTGGGTCATGTGAAAGGCAGACATATTCTGATGGTGCTCCAGCTTCACTAAAATATCCTCCACCAACAGTTTCTGCAAGATATTTTCAAAGGGGAATGTAGACATTTCGCTGACATGATCTTGCATTGTTTATTCACAGAAAATTAAAATTTTTATTGAACAATGATGTATAATTATTTTATAAGCTCTTAAAATTAAGGGCATTTTATATCATATGTTGATTTTGATAGATTGACTGATTGTTGGTGTTTAACACTATTGTCAGTACTCATGCCTATATCAAACTTTGCCAGTTTTAACTGATGCAGGACACAAGAGAGAACCACTGACCTCCAGGCTGGAAAATGGCAATCCTAGTAGGGAAAAGCAGGAGTCGAACACAACTGCCATACACGGGGTTTCGAACTGAACTAGCAATATTGATCACTGTAATGGACTACTTAGACAACTTGGGCACAAAGGCCCTTTTGTATGCGGACGTCTTTAAGCAAATATAGTCACACAATGTCACATTAAACATATTATTATGAAATTATATCTTTGATATGTCAATATATTTGAGTGGTCGATATTATGTGTCTGTAATAGTGTGTTAGACAGTAAAAATTTGGTTCCTATGCTGAATTCCCCGCTTTCTATCTGTTTAATCCACGGTATGGAAATAATTTTGGAGATAAAAAACGAGCATTGATAAAACATTAAATTTTGCAGGCTAACCAAATATTGAACTATACTTGTCCTTGTGTCAATCAAATCTCAGTCTTCGCCTTCTTTTTGTCTGTTGTTTTGTAGATAAACAGAATAACACGTCAACAAAAGAGAAACAGTCAGAACAAACCAGTCTTTGAATTTTTAAAAATACTGCAAGTGATTTTTACTATTCAACTCTGAATTTTACCAGATGGTCTCATTAACTATTAAACTGTGTTCTGGCTAGAATTATTTAGAAGCAAGCTGATACATGAGGACGGTACAAACAATATACTTTAGGATTAAACATAATTATACAAATATGATTACCGGAGTGAAGTAGTTCTGTTCCATTCAATGGACAATCTTTTCGTCCCTACCGTGTGTAAACCGCTCTACTGCCTGTCGAATAAAAGGCACTGTCAAAAAAATTGATAATAAAAAACGTCATTTATTTTTTCTTTATTGAGCGTGAAATAAATAGACAGATTATACTAAGTAGCAAGTTTGAATAACACTTGTTAGGTTTTACTATATTATGATGTGTTGGAGAAAAGGACAGTTGCTATTTGTCTTTATAATAGAATTCTGATTGTTTATTTAACCCCTTTCAACTTCAATATTTTCGTAACTCTTTTTCCTTTACTGTTGTGTCGGTTTTTTTTAACTTCTAATAAAACTCTGGTGAAAAAAAGAAACAAGCACAATGCAGGGCATTGTTCGAGGAAAGGCAGGCGTGATTGTCCACACTGGTTAAAATATCACGTAAGGTAGATAGAAAACAATATTTCGACGATTATATGCAATTCTATATTTTTTTCAGTCAGTGACCACCCCTCGACCCCCTGGATTTACCTTCATCAGGAACGCTCAAAGCCGAATATCTGAAAGCCAAGTATGTATAAGAACCGAAACATATGGAAAGCTAAATGATAAAAAGGACCCAAAAACAGCCAAATCCATCTAAGGTCAACTTTGTCTGAAGAAGTATAATTTCAAAATTTATTGGCGGACAATTTTAGAAAGGTTTGATATGAATCTTTAGTACCGACGTTTACTATGTGCCAATGTAGAACCACTGACTACTTGACCGATGAGTTCAATACTGTCTTTATTGGTTCTTACACTGATTTTGTTTTTAATAATTCAATACATACGGTGGTAATGTGTGTATAAGTAGTCGAACTACTGTATCACTAGCCTATCAACACTGAGGTTGTGAGTTCGAATCCTTCACGTGACAGGTGTGTTCGACTCAAACTTTAATTAACTAGGATTGTCAGTTTTCCTGCCAAAGGTCGGTGGTTCTTTCCGGGAACTCCGGCTTCCTCCACCAATAAAACCTGATCACCATGAATAGCAAATAGTGCTCAAAGTGGCGTTAAACATCAATTAATCAATCTATTGGTTCTCACATTGATTTTTTTTTGGATAATTTAACACATGCCTAGATATATACATATGCACATTTATGGCTCTACAATATGTCGATACCTGTATCTAGGCATTGCAAAGGGTCATGTTTTTTCTCTGACTGTGAATGACGTCTTTAAACTAAATCCATTGGATGTTGGATGTGTACTGATTGCTATTTTAGTCTTAGATGCATGATTTTGTTACTAGTTGTTATTGGCTTTCAACTAGCTGTCAGTAACTGCGAGTACTCTCAAATCTATACTTAGTGTCCTTGTTTGTTGTTGGGATACATAAATATTTTGTTTTTGTTAGATGTTTTTCTGATTTGTATCGATCTGATGAGTTAAGCATTTTTTTTTTCTCTTATGTTATACTGTAATACCACTGTATCAGTTAAGGGGAAGGTTTGGCGCCAGCAAATTAATTGAACCCCGCCACATTCTTTATGTGCCTGTATCAAGTCAGGAGCCTGTAATTCAGTGGTTGACGTTTGCTGCTGTATATCATATTTGTTTTTCTTTCGTTGTTTTGTACAAACATCAGGCCGTTAGTTTTTTCGTTTGAATTGTTGTGCATTTGTCATTTCGGCAACTTTTATAGATGACTATAAGGTATGTGTTTCGCTCATTGTTGAAGGCCGTACAGTGACCCATTGTTGTTCACTTTTATGTCGTTTGGTCTCTGGTGGACAGTTGTCTCATTGGCAATCATACCACATTTTCTTATTCTTATATTGTTATAAAGTACTGAACACTAATGTTTATATATCCTGTCTATACTTATGTTTTGTCATTGCTGAAGGTGATATTTTTTTTAAAACTTTTCAAATACTGTCAGTGACGTCTTTACAGTAAATCCGTTGAATGTGTACTGATAGATATTTTAGTCTTGACAGACATGATTTATTTTTTAATATAAAATAAGAAGACTTGCTATGATTGCCAATGAGACCAAACACGTAAAACCTCGCCACATTATGTGCCTGTTCCAAGCAAGGGACCAGTTATTCGGTAAATGTATTTTGTTGTTTGTTGCTGTCTGCCAATTTTGATTTTCGTTTATTGTTTTGGCATAAACCACGCCGCTGATGTTGTCATATTTTGTACATGTCATATCGAGGATTTGTATAGCCTATGCCAATTTTTTGAGTGTTTCTATTGTTGAATATCGTACGATGACAAATAGATGCTTACATCCACGTCCATTGGGTTCTAGTTGAGTGTTTTTATCATTGTCAAGTATAGCACATACCCGTACTTGTATATATACCAAAATTAAAATGGTATACACATTGGTCTTTTTTCAAACAAATGAGAAACGTTATCATTCTCAGTCTGATTAATTAACTTAAGACAAACATTGTTAGATAATTTTTAATAAGAAAAGGAAAACAATATTATAGAAGTCATCAGAAAACTATTTAAAAATTCATATTTTGCTATACTTCTGGAATATATGATCAAGCATAAAATTAAGAAAGACTAACAAATTGCATCATGTTTGGCGGCGAGTTGATACATGATTGTAAATTTAGCTATGTCTGTTGCAGCCTGCCTCCTTGATTTTGTTCCAATACCAGTTAGTGGAACTTTTCTTACAGCCAGATGGACCTCCATTGTGCATGCGTGCGTAATCTTCACAGGTCGTTCCACATGTCTTGCCCCCATAACGTTTCATAAAAGCCTGTGTACATCTCTTTGCACAATTGTAGTCATTCGCACACTGTTTATAACCTGTAAAAGTTAGATTCAAATTTAGTTCTATTATAAATAAGAAAAATTGATATGCATTAGTTCTACAGTAATACTTATCTACTTGTCATACGAGTGGGAGGTTCAGCTACCTATACAATCGGAGTGAAGAACTCCTATACATACCGTCCTTAATCAGGCACGTTCGAACCAAAATTCAGAAAACAAAATACATTTAACGTTTAGGATAACAAAAGGTACAAGGACATCACGAGAATAGCCAAACAAGCAGTTGCAGTTTATCCAGTTGCAGCCTTAGTTTAAAAACGATACTTTACTAGTTAATACATCGAAAGTTTTGAATGAATTTTTTTCATTTGAATATAACCAGTATTGGAGCACTTGATAAGGGGCGCGCAGATGCAGATGTTACCCTCGAGGACTTATGTGCAGTTAATTGTTATAGGTTGTACTTCTGTAAATATAGACAATGCAATTTCCTATAGAAAATCCCTTTACGGCTAACACCGTGCCACTTTTACCATGACGTTTTGTAAAAATTCATATCCTAGAGCAAACAGTGTATATGCACTACTATTTTTTTCAAAGGTCATAACATAGAGCTGTGCGGCATATTTTCAACATTCATATGCCCCGAACGTCTAAGAGCTTAAACTTTTTCTAAAATTCTGTACTTCCCCTCCCTTCTTTGTTTGGGTCTTCCTCAGAATTCAATTTGGCCGCTATATTTTAAATAGCTGTATTCACAAAGTGTAACCTATACTTATATTTATTCAAATAGAAAATCTTGAAAAACACTTTTTCTCACAACAGTTGATCAGAATCATCGCTTAAAAGAAATCACTGCTTATACTCTAACTTTTCTTTTATAGTACATTTGATACCCCCACCTCTGTTTCAATTTTTAAAGAATTTGAAAACAAGACTTTAATTATTGTCAGCTTACCCTATGTGTATGTTTTCTGACATGAAATGTCTAGAACCTGTTTGAAACTATTCTGATAACACATTGAAAGCATTTCAGAATACTATAAATGTAAAGTTTAGTATTTAATCATTCCAACATTCAAGATTATATAAAGTATCCAATTCTGCATTTGTCTCCAGTCCACATCTTACTGTATGCCTATTTATTTATTAAAGTTCACAATTTCTGCCTCTAATGGTCAGTTTAGAAATCTTTTCACAATGATATCATCTCTAACCATATATCTAACATAATTTGACTAATATATGAACTAGAAGTGTTTAAACAAAGCCATATTTGCAATAGTTGTATATTTGAAGTTACCAGTCTGATGTATAAATTCAATAAAAGTTTTATAGAACGGACTTTTGAAATCTGTTTTTTGCATAACATCAAAGCACAGTTATTGTTTTTATACAAAAGACCTTTATAATAATAAGATCATAATCTTTACAGGTTAAATTATCTGTTTTATGACCCAGAGGTTAGGCTTTTTTCTGTTGGCTTTTTTCTGTTTTCTTGCCACTGGGGCCTCAAATTTGCTAAATAATTCTGCTGTCTCTGTGAATATGGTATATTTAGTACATTTTTAGAATAGAACACACTATTGTTAGTTTTATTAAGGTGTTTTTGTATCTCTAGCTTGTATTTTGTATGCCGCAGTCACAAGAGAGCACATTCAGGTGTTACGGCTTACTTATGGGTTTTAGACAGGACAAAAACACCCCAACAACAATATAACTCAATGATCTATGAGTTTCAATGATTGTGAAGAGTAAATATAAGCACTTCTTAACAATTTAAATTTCAAATTATGCATATATTATGAATCTACTTTGCAAACAGGGCTTTAAGTAAAGTAGACTAAGGTCGGGTTGTTGTCTCTTTGCCACATTCCCCATTTCCATTCTCAATTTTATGCATACTGTAAGCTGTGAATATATGCTGAGTCATCATAGTTAAGGCCCAGGATTTTGTCAATCTTCATGAAATATTAATCAAACTTTATATTTGAGTTAAATTCTCTGAAGATAAACCAGAGTTGTTGAAATTCTACGTGTTCTCTTTTTTCACCCAATATATGAGTGTATACACAAATTAAGTCCATAAGTGAAGTGTATAGAGAAAAAAAACGATATTTGTTCTTCTAATGGTATTTGTAGCACTGAAAAGGAAAATAGGTATCAGCTGACTGCTTCATTATCAAAATTCGACCAAATCAAGGGTAGCTCTTCTAATAGCAATAACCATTTCTTGTAATTCCAATGTGCACACTAAGTTATATGCATGTAAAACATCTCCTCCATACATACAAACCTATTATGCCCGTGCATGAAATCATACTCGAAATGTCATGAAATGGATTAATACACGTATAATTAATTTGGTTGCTATGGCGTCGACCAATGAATAAGATTTAACATACAGCAGTGGATTTTTTGTGATCTAATCCTTTGTCAATATATAGTATATAAAAATAAAAATATGATTGTCAATGAGACAGCTGTCTACCACAATTTAACATGAAGTGGATATAAGCAATTATAGACAACTGGACGGCCTTCAACAATTAGAAAATCCCATACCGTATAGTCGGTTAAAAAAGGGCCCCGACATGAAAAATTATGAAACAATTCAATTGAGAAAACTAAAGGCCTATTATATAACAAAACAATTTACGAAAAACAAATATGACAGACATGAACTAACGACAATCACTAAACTACAGGCTCCTGTTTGGGACAGATACATATCGAATATTGCGGGGTTAAACATGTTGAAGGCGCCAACTCTCCTTCCAACATAGGATAGTTGTGTAACATTATACTTTAAGAACAAACTATAAAAGTCAGTTGAAAGGGCTGAACTTGTCAGATCGATACAAAGCAGAAAAACATCTAACAAAAGCACAGACCGGAGTTGTCGGGATATTTATACATCCCTAAAAAAAAAAGATCTGAGAGTACTCGCAGTTACTGGCGGCTAGTTCAAAGCCAATAACAACAAATACAAAAACTCATGTATATAAGACTAACACATCAATCAGTACACATCCAACATCTGATGGATATAGTGTAAAACGTCCCATTAATTTTCTTTAAATTTCAATCGCCGAATAAGTTCTTATATCAACAGAAATAAAGAAAACAAACAAATACCAATAAGATATAAATTTTCCTCATTTTAGTGTTAATCAAAGTTTTTAACTATATATCAATCCATGAGAAATGATCAAAAATGCTCTCATCCTCAGCTAGAATTGTTTTGCTGAAGTTGGAACAAAAACCAACTGTCACAGCTTAAATGTATCTTGTTACTGGTTTCCTTAACGTTGTTGTACACTTACCGCCTCCCGGTCGATGACAATCTTTCCAGAACACTTCTTTTATCTGAAGTGGTCCACAGGAGTCCGATCCGACATCCCAACGGCAACCTATGTTCCTATTACATCTTGATTCTACCTTAAATTCAAATGATAAATGTGAAACAAAAACTATGTATTTTTCAGAAATACTAGAATTATTGCGAACATTTAACATTATAACAATGAAATGAATCTTCCGTTTCAGACTGACATGCGTATTAAAATAGTGATTCTGAGACATATAGTTCTGTCGTGTGTTAATCTAAGAACAATTTCAAAATTTCTTACCAGTAGTTGCAAATATAGCAAAAGGCATTTAAATGTAATTAACAATAAAAAAGTAAACCAGACTGGATGTATTGAAGTCTGCTGGAATTATACTTTCTTTAAGTTTTGGTTCAATTTTTTCAAGAGATATATTTACAACGGAAATGAGAATTTTAATGGAAATACCAGTTATTTTAAGTTATAATACTCTTTGGTTGTTACTCGACTGACCCACAAACAAAGTGATTAACGACCAAAGGACTTTATGTTAAGTTGTGTGAAAGATAATACATCAATTAATTTCGAAAAAATAACTAAAATATTACTTATCATTATCAGAGGTAGATTAAGTAAATAAAAATACGTCATTAAGGACCGCGTATTTTGGGAGAGACTTTCTTAAGTCCTGTGCTGCACTGATTGGTAGATGATGTTGCAAAAAATATTTTTGATAAGATTGATCAAAACTCTGATTAACAAAATAAATAAATAAATGCTGAATGCACTTAAAGTTCTTTACTGCAGGGTTGAAATGTAATGGGGGTCAGTGAAGACATTTAGAGCGAATCTACAATGTTTGTAATCAAGGCCATTTGTATGGCCCAAAAATGCCGCATGCCGCTATGTTTTGATTGTTGTATAAGAAGGGTCTATATTTCTATTTGAATGAATGGTATATGAAAGCTTCTGATTTCTAAAGATAACCCAGGTATGAATTAAATTCCAGTAATAGGTTTGAATTGAAGTCAATGGGATATTCTTAACTGACTATATCCCTTGAACAGTCAGATCAATTATATCATCGATGCTTGCATAACTGTTGCGCATGTGTAGGCATTCACACTAGTGACATCATTGACTGGGTTATACACGTACAAACTGTTTGGTTGCCATGACATCGATCAATGAAATGGGATTTAACATACAGAATATCATTACTATTGAGATCCAAACTCATGTTTATTGATTCAATGTCCATTATCTGTTTGGAATGTCAGTCACCAATACGCTCTTAAATAAAATTTAATTCTGTCAAAGTTCCACTGGTATAATATATATACTTACATGACAAATACAGGCCAGGCACTTGTCAGAAAGTGCTGAAAGTTAAATTATCTATATGTTTATGGTGAATAGATGAAAAAGTAAACAATGTGTGTTTCAAAAGTTTTTACAAGTCAAATATACAAAATTATATCAAAATTGATAAAAAAAAATTAAAATATTATATACAGTCAACGCTGTTCCCCCTTTTTTCCATCCATAGTTAATTCCAATATGTTCTGAGACGATTATGTTTTACGTACTCTTACATTCAATTGGTACTAACCATGAACAACACAACGGTTACAACATATGGAGCAGGATCTGTTCACCTTCATACAGCAACCGAAATTATCCCCGGTCTTGTTAGGGTTCGGGTTGTCCAGCCCTTAGTATTCTATTTAATTAACTGTTGACTATTGTTTGTCTGAATTTTGATTTGCAATGAAAAAGAGAGGCGAAAGATACAAAACGGACATTAAATGTCCTTTTGGTATCTTCGGGCTCTCTCTTACATAACATTTAAGCTTGCAGAACGTTTTTCGACTAAAGTAATAAAGTTAAACGGATATATACATTGTTAACCTTTATATAAAACTAAACTTTAATGGAGACAACCATCTTAGGAACTTTGCTTAGTTTTGTAGCGTTATTTCCTTTGATCCTGCAGATTTTTACCCGCCCTTTAGCTTTGCTAGTGCTGTTTAACCTTAGCTCAGTTGGCTGAATGGTGGCTTGCTGTGCAAGAGGTTCTGGGTTCGGCGGGTTTAGTAGTAATTTTTTAAGGAGATTCGTATCCTAATTATGACATTTTATTTGTTGAACTCATAATAAAGTTTCTTAAAATTTGCCAACTTGAAAACAAAAATAATTGTAAAGTGACTTATAATGCTTACTCCCACTTCAATTGGACTCTTCTGGATAGTTTTCTCTTTGGCAATCTAATCACATCTCCTTACTTTTTATATAGCAATTCACTTTTAATATCATGGGACGATTAGAGCTCAAAATATGTTATCTTATTCAAAAAAACGTGCTCCAGAAATATACCAGAAACCACCCAAAAACTGTGATTTTCGCAAGTTGGGTAACGTTTCCACATTCACGTTTAATTTAAGGTTTGATTTAGCTGAATATTGCCACAAATCTACGAATTTTCAATATTAGTTTCAAAAATATCTCGAAAATAAGACTGAGTGGTCCAATTTTTTCCCTAAAAATGATTGATCTTGATAGTTTCAATTTTTTCTATGTATTTTCCTGACATAGTGTAATATTTAAATACATGATTGAGAGTAAACTCCATATTTCTAACAAATATGCAAGACAATCCTGTATCGTTTACTGTATAAAACAATCAACTTTCTTTAAGGAATATATATATAAGAAAAATCTACCGTATCCTGTAAATTCAGAAATTATAATTTTGACATGAACAGCAAAAATTTGAGAATAATTATTGCAATTTCCGGAAATCTGCATACAGATCAATAATTCAGATATCATTTGCTAGTTCTTATTAATGCGATAATCACCCAGTCAAATTTTTCGCATTAAAATATCTTGCAATTATTTCTGAGTTTACCATATTTGCTTTAAACGATATACATTCCGAATAACTGAGAATAAAAGTTCTGTTACCTACCTGCTAATAACAACTCAGTATGGATGGCCAAAATGATGACTAAAACTTTTAACGAAAATTGAAGAGATAGCATCCTGAAAAAAAAACATTTTGATATCTGTTTAGTATTTTTTTTTTAAATTCTGGTCTGAAAGCCAATCCTTTTTGCTTCTTTTAAAGTTGTTACCTCCAACTTATGTAAAGTCAGCTCAATATTTTTAAAGACATATTGATCAAGCGTAAAAACTTTAACATGGCAAATAATACTGCCAAACACTTCATTTAGTAGAAAATATATCCGACAAATTGTAACAAGAAATATGTATTTTCTAAATATAAAAATAAGAAGATGTGGTATGATTGCCAATGAGACAACTCTCCACAAGAGACCAAATGACACAGAAATTAACAACTATAGGTCACCGTACGGCCTTCAGCAATGAGCAAAGCCCATACCGCATAGTCAGCTATAAAAGGCCCTGAATTGACAAATGTAAAACAATTCAAACGAGAAAAACTAACGGTCTAATTTATGTACAACATAATGAACGAAAAACAGATATGTTACACAGCAACAATTCAAACGACAACCACTGAATTACAGGTTCCTGACTTGGGACAGGCACATACATAATGAGGCGGGTTAAGCTCGTTTGAAGGCGCCAACCCTCTCCCTAATCTGGGATAGTGGTGTAACAGTACAACATAAGAACAAACTATAAAAATCAGTTGAAAAAGGCTTAACTCATCAGATGGATACAAATAGAAATACATCTCACAAAAACACAGAGTGGACGTGGACGGCTACTCATACATCCACACAACAGAAAGACACTAAGTACAGATCTGAGAGTACTCGCAGTAACTAACAGCTAGTTCAAAGCCAATAACAACTTATGAAAAAATCATGAATCTAAGACTAAAATATCAATCAGTACACGTCCAGCATCAAATGGATTTAGTATAGAGACGTCATAAACAGTCAGAGAAAAGCATGGCCTTGTGCAGTGCCAAGATACAGGTATCGAAAGATTGTCGAGCCATGAATGTGGATATGTATATAAAAGTAATATTTAGTTTTACTTTAATTTTAAATTACTGATAACAAAATCAAAATCAAAACCAATAAAAACAGTATTCAAAGATCTAATTACAGTGTTGAATTGGTCACCTTTTAGAATAAGTTTATTTAAAGGATCGATAAGTTTTCCCGGATCGTTTCAAAATTTCCGGGCTCGGTAAAAAACATCTCCGTAGAAATAAGGATGTGCTATCCCGTTTAAAATAATTTTTCTACAGGTACAACCAAACTTCAAAACCAAATCTTTATATCTATGGAAGAATTTAGTAAAGGTTTAAGTAATTTGTGGTAACGAAATCTCTGACTTAATAATTTACCAGTAATACATAGATTACGTTCATTGAAATCCAAAACGTTACAACAGACACGGGCATAGCGAACGAGGTGTGATATACAAACACCGTAAGATGATGCCAAAGGATTATCAACGTCCAAAAAAATCGTTCCTTTTGTCGTAAATTTTAGTGTCGAGTTTCCCGTGTAAAACTGAAATATCGAAATCTAGGAAAGGACAGTTATTTACGTTTATATTTGAATTATTTGAAGTAAGTTCCTTTGGGTAAATTGCGGCAGTATATTTAGAAAATTTTTGATTATTTAACGAAAAAATATCATCAAGATAACGTGAAGTGTTGTAGAATTTATCAGTTAAATGCAATTCAGACGGGTCTTTACTGAGTTTTGTCATACACTGTGATTCATAACAGTACAAGAACAAGTCTGCTATTAAAAGGGCGCAATTGGTGCCCATAGGAATACCTACAACCTGTCGATAAACTTTATTGCCGAAACGTACATAAATGTTATCAAGGAGAAAATTAACAGCTTTAATCATCTCATCAAACCTCCAGTATGTGTATCTATATAAATATAAGAAGATGTGGTATGAGTGCCAATGAGACAACTCTCCATCCAAGTAAAACTTTATAAAAGTAAACCATTATAGGTCACAGTACGGTCTTCAACACGGAGCCTTGGCTCACACCGAACAGTAAGCTATAAAGGGCCCCAAAAATTACTAGTGTAAAACCATTCAAACGGGAAAACCAACGGTCTAATCTATATAAAAAACGAGAAACAC